GATGTAATATACACAGACTTTGCAAAAGCCTTCGACAAGTGTGACCATGGCGTAATAGCGCACAAAATGCGTGCTAAAGGAATAACAGGAAAAGTTGGTAGATGGATCTATAATTTCCTCACAAACAGAACACAAAGAGTAGTAGTCAACAGAGTAAAGTCTGAGGCGGCTACGGTGAAAAGCTCTGTTCCGCAAGGCACAGTACTCGCTCCCATCTTGTTTCTCATCCTCATATCTGACATAGACAAGGATGTCAGTCACAGCACCGTGTCTTCCTTTGCAGATGACACCCGAATCTGCATGACAGTGTTTTCCATTGCAGACACTGCAAGGCTCCAGGCGGACATCAACCAAATCTTTCAGTGCGCTGCAGAAAACAATATGAAGTTCAACGATGAGAAATTTCAATTACTCCGATATGGTAAACATGAGGAAATTAAAACTTCATCAGAGTATAAAACAAATTCTAGCCACAAAATAGAGAGAAAAACTAATGTCAAAGACCTGGGAGTGATCATGTCAGAGGATCTCACCTTCAAGGCCCATAACATTGTATCAATCGTATCTGCTAGAAAAAAATGACAGAATGGACAATGAGAACCTTCAAAACTAGGGATGCCAAGCCCATGATAACACTCTTCAGGTCGCTTGTTCTATCTAGGCTGGAATATTGCTGCACACTAACAGCACCTTTCAAGGCAGGTGAAATTGCTGACCTAGAAAATGTACAGAGAACCTTCACGGTGCGCATAACGGAGATAAAACACCTTAATTACTGGGAGCGCTTGAAGTTCCTGAACCTGTACTCCCTGGAACGCAGGCCGGAGAGATACATGATTATATACACCTGGAAAATCCTAGAGGGACTAGTACCGAACTTGCACACGAAAATCACTCACTACGAAATCAAAAAACTCGACAGACGATGCAACATCCCCCCAATGAAAAGCAGAAGTGTCACTAGCACGTTAAGAGACAACACAATAAGTGCCAGGGGCCCAAGACTGTTCAACTGCCTCCCAGCATACATAAGGGGGATTACCAATAGACCCCTGGCTGTCTTTAAGCAGGCACTGGACAAGCACCTAAAGTCGGTACCTAACCAGCCAGGCTGTGCCTCGTACGTTGGATTGCGTGCAGTCAGCAGTAACAGCCTGGTTGATCAGGCTCTGATCCACCATGAGGCCTGGTCACAGACCGGGCTGTGGGGGCGTTGACCGCCGGAACTCTCTCCAGGTAAACTCCAGGTAACAGAAATACCTAGCCATGATGAAAAACTTACCGAGGTGTAGTATGGAGAAGAGGGTGCAGAGAAGACAAGGTGTACTAGGGTAAGCATAGTGAAAGACATTTCTTTTAATAAACTTGGGTAGACGAGAGTTCTAATGGTGAGATGTCTGGAGATAATGGAGAAAAGGGACATACTAGGTGGTGTGGTACATACCATGGGTGTTAATGGCAGAGTCAGCAGTACTTCCTGGGTAGAGGAAAGTAGGACGGTAACGTGGACGCACCTCTCCACTTAGGTGACACGACCAGCACGGTGCACCCATGTACTGCCACTCCATCTTCCTTCATCCACTAACTGCTGGAGAAAATCTGAATAATTTAGCACTTCTTTATCTTCAGCACTTACATTAGTAATTACAGTAACTGATGTAATTTGTTTCACTTCACATGCCATATAGCTTACATGATTATACTGTATTATTATTTCGGCCTTCTAAACATTTCCGTATTAAGAGTACCATTATTAATGTTAGAAAGAGTATACTGTATTATGAAGTAACTTTGATACTTATTGATCGACTGTAGCACTTCACTTTATAAGTCAAATATTCGTACAACAATGTCAAGTATCTCAAGTTCCTTGCCAAGTGGTTTCACTCAGTTCAAATCATAAGGAATTTGGGTAGAAGAAAATTATTTTACCTCCCCCCCCCATCAGAAATTGTTTTTCAATGTAGACTAATTATAATTAACTGCAAAAATGTGCTTCCTAACATCCATGTGGCTTATCATCTTCAAAAGCCATTTATTCCCCCCTCCCTTGCGTCTCGAAATTCTCAAAAGTTTACCAAGTCCTCACAGTATCTTGTATCTCATGATCATATTCCCCCCTGGGCCTCTGTATTAGCGTTATTGGAGTTTACCTGGAGTTTACCTGGAGTTTACCTGGAGAGAGTTCCGGGGCTCAACGCCCCCGCGGCCCGGTCTGTGACCAGGCCTCCTGGTGGATCAGAGCCTGATCAACCAGGCTGTTGCTGTATTGGGCTGATTTCTTTAAATATCTTCTGTTCCAGTACCCCTCTAGTTCTGGTATATATCATTTTTGTGTGTGTAAAGTGAATGAAAGTTTGAAAGACCAATATGAGTTAATGTTCAGCAACCTACTAAATGGCAGAAGCACTGAGGAGCCAGAAAGCTGTACTTTACCTGTCTGACCTACACATCATATATCAGACAAAAGCACAAATCCTATCAGAACTTGAAAGGGAAATAGAAAACAGATCCACACATGTAACACCAGGGCGTGATTCATGGAAATTTTTGAGGTTTTCTCAAAGGGATACCTTTAAGAGTTACTTAATTTTTTTTCTTCCTCCAACTTTTCAAATTTCTTTCGCTCGTAACTTGAGAAGCCTAATCCTACTAGATTCAAGTTTTGAACTCTTGTGTATGTCAATGAGGACCAGTTCCTAGGAACAATTGGCATGCGCAGGTGCCCTGTGGTCAAAGTTACTGAACCATTACCAGCATCCTGGAATGGCTTGAATAATTTCCTAAACCCAGAGTGTCATAGCTTCAAACATTAAAAAAAATATGCATCCTAATTTGGTGATGGAGAGTAAAATTCATGTGTAGGTGCTGATTTGACCATTTTATGAGTAAAATTGTATGAAAATTTGATTCTTGTTTAATTACAATCAGAGTGTGTATTTACCTCTTCTGAATGGCTTCAGTATTTAATGGGATGTATTTTATGGACAGGACAATATCCATTCACTGTGGTTTGTGTCAGCGCAATGACTTAAAACTTAGAAACCTTGCAATTTTTATCAAATTTCACTATCTTAAAAAGAACAAAATAAAATTTCTTTACAAAATTATAAATTTTTAAATTAACGCAACTGCAAATATAAAATTAAAGAATATTAAAAACTCCAATTTTTATAATTTTTTAAATATCCTGAACAATATTATTATTATAATCAAAAAGAAGCGCTAAGCCACAAGGCCTGAACAATATGAATTCTTAAATACTGCAAGGCGCGATGCCAAGCCATCCATCAATGCTACAGTTTCCTCGTATTATTTAAGGTTTTCATTTATAACTTCTGAATATCTTATTCAATCTGCTTCACGTGTTAGATCCTGGTAAACTATTACTAGGTGAAGGTTTGTAGTGCAACTGCTCAATTTTATATAGACTTTCCTGAAACTAATTTCCACTAGTTCACTAAACAGAGCTTCGACTTCACAAGTTCAGGTATCGCCGTCAAAATGACTAACGTCGTTACTGGTTACAGATTCACATATATACACATGCACATAATGGCATTCACATATATACACATGCACATAATGGAGGTGGTGGTGGAAGACATACATATATGCACATGTATATGTCGTGCCGAATAGATAAAACTTGCGATTTTTACTTAAATAGCAACACTCTTCTTGCCGAATCAGGGAAGCAAAAATTTGTGTATGTAATAAATTCGCAAAAACCATTCTGAACCCAATGAAAAAAAAATATATTTCATTGTGTTTATTATTAAATTATTGTAAACTTATCTAAAATATGGAGAACTGGTTAGATAAGTACACTTTCCTGCATGAAACAAATATAAGACAAGCGTAACGTTATCTCTTAACAGCACGATTTCCAGCAGCTTCTCCCTGGAAATCCCTTCAGGGTGCCGTCTCAGTGTCCACAGTGGCTGTTGATTAACAATTGAGCAATTCATATAATTTGCCCCAATGGAGCGTATATCCAGCAGTTCACTATCACATGAAATGCATAGTGGAATTCACTTAGTTTGGGTGAATCACCCACGCATCACGGATCTATTGGTAACTCCAGTCAAATCTTACCTCTGCCCGGTGGCCCGGTGGCTAAAGCTCCCGCTTCACACACGGAGGGCCCGGGTTCGATTCCCTGCGGGTGGAAACATTTCGACAAGTTTCCTTACACCTGTTGTCCTGTTCACCTAGCAGCAAATAGGTACCTGGGTGTTAGTCGACTGGTGTGGGTCGCATCCTGGGGGACAAGATTAAGGACCCCAATGGAAATAAGTTAGACAGTCCTCGATGACGCACTGACTTTCTTGGGTTATCCTGGGTGGCTAACCCTCCGGGGTTAAAAATCCGAACGAAATCTTATCTTATCTTATTGGCTGCAGCTAAAAGAAAATGTGGGTATATCTGGACTTACCTGGGTATTGTAACTGACCCATTTTCCCCTAGTTTGTTGTAGGGGAGGTGTGACCCCAGTATTGTTGTCTTGAGTGGGCTGCTACTGATGCGTAGTTATGTCCTCACTCATTCCTAAGGAGTCACTTTGGTCATATGTTATGCTACAGGGTGATATCTTGTCCTTTTGTTCATAATACCCGAATGCATACTGCGACACAAACTTTTACATTTTATCAGGATTATACAGTGGATTATACACTCATGTTTCCTTTTAACATTAGTTTTCCAAGGGGAGATTGACAGTATTTCAGAGTTTACCTCAAAAGTCATTATTTTCTTTGTTCTCAGTGGGAGATTTGTGACGTGTTCACGCTCTGATATCTGAATTCAACCTAGCTTGTCGCGCTGCCCAACGCCCATCAGTTCGCCCTCCGCACAAAAGAACTGCTGAGTTCAGCTTTATATCTCTTCCTTACTGCACATTGCAACAAGGAAAAACACAAGAAGGTTGTGTCCTTGTTTAGCTGCATACTAAAGTCATAATGTCCCAACTTGTAGGACAAGTGGGGTGCAGGTTTCCCTTATTTTCTTGCCATAGAGAAAAGATTAATTACTCTCGTTTAACCTCATTGTGTAGTTGATCAGGAATTCTAGCAAAGGAAAGGAAGACGTGCCTCGTGAAACTACGGTACATACATATATCCTCATAAAACTGTTTGCGAGGAAGGAAGAGTCCAGCAGTCCCTTCCGGGAGGGCTAAGTCCCTCAGAGAGCTTCCTTTACTGGAGAATTTTCTCCACATTGAGGAGCAGGCAAAAGTTTGCCGTAGGTGAGCTATTCATTTCTTAACATCATTTTGATTTTTTTACTGGCCACCAATGCTGATTGTCTTTTCTTAACAACTTTAGTCTGTGGGGTTTCTGGAGAATCACTTTGTTTTCAACACATTGTATAATTCTAACAGCACTAGTTTATCAATTGTCCGTTTATTCACTACACCTTTGCTTAAAACTTCAACTGTCCTGATGGTTCCATTTGCATCAGGATGTATGTTCACTATTTTTCCAAGAATCCATTGAGACCTTGGACCATCATTGTCAATCACTGTCACCCGGTCTTAAGGATGTATGATTTTCAGGAACAAATTTTCTCTCAACGTTCAATCACTTTATTGAGGTGTTTGAATTTACGTCTGAGTTGCTCAGGTTCGAGATAAGCAGGATCCTCCATGATTTCTTTATCATTCATGGGAGGAATTCGGTTTGAGCCTTCTGCCATGGAGTAAATGAGACGGACTTAACACTTCCAAATTGTCCAGATCATCGGTAACATAAGTTAGAGGTCTGTGTTGACTATTTTCTTCATTTACGACTGTTCGAAATTCTTCTAAGTCGATTCGCTAACGATGAAGAGTCTTCCTTAATGTTCTTAAACGTTTTATGATGCCTATCATTCTTTCATAAAATTTGCGTTGCCATGGAGCCTTGGGAGGAATGTGTCTCCAACGACATCTGCAATGATTCAGCATCTGTTGTACCTCTAGTTGATAAAAGATCTTGCTTATATAAGCAGCACCGACAACAAAGTTGCATTATCTGAAATTATAATGCAACTTTGTTGCATTATCTGAAATTATTGCATTATCTGAAATTATCAGTCTGGGACACGCCCTTCTGGCTCCAACATGTCGGTTCTCTGAACCATTCATCTACAAACCTAAATAGTTTGACAAAGGTTTCAGCAGACATGTCAGTGGCTACTTCTAGATGTACTGCTCTAGTCGTAGCATAGGTGAACAAACAGATGTACATGTTGATGGGAACTTTGTCAACAGTTTTAGTTAAAATTACTGGTCCGGTGTAATCTACACCTGTCACATCAAATGGTGACATGACATACTCGCACAGCGGGATATGGAGGTGGACCTGGATACTGACATGTTCAGTCATCGAAGTGACGACATGTAATACAGTCCCTTATTTGGCTTTTCACACTTTGTCTACCTTGAGGTATCCAGTAAGATTGTCGTATGTGACGAAGTGTGTCAGCTACCTCATGTAACATGTTACTGTGGGCATTTTTAACAAACAGTTTTGTTAGCCAATGATTTTGGGGGATCAGTATCGGATGTATTGCTTCTTTAGGTATTAAATTATTATTATAATAAAAAAGAAGCGCTAAACCAC